ATTAAAAAAAAAAAATGAAAAAAAAACAATTCCCCCCCCCCCCCCCCCCCCCCAAAAAAAAAAAAAAAAACACAACATCGCAATGCCCACACCCCACCCTATGCTGTGGGAAACCATCGGTCACTAAGCTAAATAATCATCCCCACGTTTGTATCTCTGTCTTTTGAGATTAGTAGTGTTACAGAGAGATCAAATGCGAAAGTGGGAAGAACTAAATTTTTTTTTTTACCCAAAAAAAATAAATCAGGAACAATTGCAAGGGCAACATAGGATGGTGGGAATGGCTACATTGGCGGTGAGGAGAAATTTTGATTGGAAAGAAACTAACCTTTTTCCATTTAATAATTGACAAATCAGATGTTAAGCCCTCTACTCCACAACTATATATATTTATAGAAAAATGTATATATGTTGATTTCTATTGCATGCTTAAAATGTGGCATTTATGTCTATAATACATTTCTCCAAATAGTTGGACAACAGTTTATTGAATTGAGTATAGTTCTATAATAATCTCATGGAGTCTACACCTTGACAAATGGAATAAAAGGTGGTCAGCATAGGTGGGTGGAGATGATAAGTCAACATTGTATGTTGTAATGATAAGGATTATAGTGACCATCAACCAACACTTATCAGCTGCTAATTTCCCCTTCTCCACCTTATATCTGCTGCTTCAACTAGTCGGTCGGGTTGGCAATTGCTACCTCAGGTTATTTATGGGACTTAGATGGAAAAAAAAGCCAAAAAATCAAAAGTTCAATTTTAGAGAGATTACTTTTACGTGAAGGGACTGAGCTCTTAAAAACATTGGTGGCTTGGCGAACCAATGTTACCGAGATCATTGGTTGATTCAAAACATACTAGATATGGGTACACGATACAATCCTTTCTCTGATATGCTATGCAATGAGAATAAACTTAGATGGTACACTGTTTTGAATAGTGATTTGTGCCAAATATTTTATCCAGATTGCTCTCACAATCAAATGAACTGTTTAGAATTATACTTCCATTCACGCATAGCCAATTAGCATTAGATGCATAATTGCTATACAAGAAAATTCAAATCACAAAACATCAAAATTTATGTTGAAATATCAATAAAGAAATAAAGTATTAGTTAGAATCACAATTAGAGTTGGGGTTACTATTTGGGGCCACCTAGATCGTGGGTTGATTTGTGGTCAAGGTTACAAATCATGATCAAGTGATCTACATAGTGAACCCAGATCGTGGGACGTCTGGGATACCTATGATCGTTAGACAGTTGAGGTACCTATGATCTCAGTATCACTGAAAAGAACAATAAACACTAGAACTTTCATAAAAAGCCACGAATATGATAATGATAATTATGTTCAAGTAGCTTTGTTTCTAATAGACTTTGCAGACACAATAATGTTTGAATTATATTGTTTCCATTCTTCGTCTTTCGATTCTTTGGATTTGCGTATTTTGAGGTTGGTGGATGGCTTCTAGTTTTGTTTTTTAATAAATGAATCAACATTTCAAGTAAATACAGATTGCGTTTTAGATGACTTATAAAAGTCATTTCTCAAAAGTACTTTATAAAAAGTATTTTCATTAAATAAACACCATTTAAATGCTCAAGTACAAAAAACTCAAATAAAAAGTACTTTATCAAACAGTGCTTGTACTATTGTTAGGTGTTGAGAAGTTTCTAATTACCTCTGGCAAAGTATCAAACATGCTTTTCGAAATGTCCAAGTAATCTCAATTTCCAATATGGAAAGTTCTCTATGCACGCTTGTGCTATTTAGTAGAATAACTCATTCAACCTTAACAAGAACCTAGAAGAACCAAGGGGATTGGTGCAAACATGCCAAGGAAGAATGATTTCCTTTATTCTTATTGGCAGAATTGACTACCTTCTACCTTCAAAATTAGTAGACTGATAGATAAAGCTGCAATGAAAGGAAAAGCGATCTACATCATATTATTTTGTGCAAGCAAGGATCAAAATATCATTTCAAAACGTCCCAAATGTTTCCGTTTTCAAGGAGACCGAAACGAAACAGTGATGAAATCGAAATTATGATATTTCGAGGTATTCCATAATGATAAATGTATTATAATATTTCAATACATTTGCACAATTATTTTTGGAATGTTTCAATGTATTTCAAGATATTTTGATATATTTTCATCAATGTTTTAAAAAAATAATTCTTAAATTTTTTATTTTTTTCATTATGTTTCTAAAATAGGTCGAAACGTTTCTGTTTCTTATGTGACCGAAACAATACACCGAAACTATATTTTGATCCTTGTGTGCAAGAAAAATATGTAGAGTTCACAATTCATAAAATCTATACCTAAAAAACAGTCAAAATTTTAAATCTAACTCAAGAAAAAAAAATATGGTTGATGATCTTTGATAAAATATTATGGTCAATCATTGAGTTTCAAATGAACAAGAGCAACCTAATTAAATGTAAGTATGCAACAGACGTTTCTCACATCTTGACCCGAATGAACAACATTTAGTGAAATTTTCTGAAAGCAGGACTTCGTATATGTATGTTGTTACACTATCTATTGGAAGTATGACTTTCTTACAAGCAATCAAGAATCAATAGCATCATAGCAGATGCATAAATTCTAAAGGAAACTTCAGTTTAATGATGTAAAAGGACCAGATTATGAGGATGGAGCAACAAAAAATGGAACTGTACTAGAGATTATGCATATATGTAAGAAGAAGAAAATGAATGAAAGATTCAAAAAGAATCAAATGTAATGTGTAGATCCATTCCAATTTGAACCTAAAAATCAACATGCAAGTAATTTATGACATCAAACAAAAAAGCAAGGGAGTAGGATTACAAAGTGTGCACATTCACATACATATATATATAAGGTGAGAGAGAAGGTAGGGTCTGACTTCTCTCTCTCACTCTCACTCTCACTCTCAAAAACCCTAGCACACACATTAACATAGTATCAGAACCAAGTTCATAATCTTCTCCTCTTCTCTTGAAAATTCCATTTTGTCTTGCTGTCACCTTCTAGGAATCTACACCCTATTTCTTTGTTCCAACCCTTCCTCTTGATTGTCTTCCTGAGTGATCTCCCTTGCCTATTTTACTTCCTCTGCCAGCTTCTATTCCTATTTCCTCCACTCTAAGTCATCTCCTACGTCAGTGTCTCATACCATACCTTCCACCACGCCCTTACATCTACCAACTTCCTCATCTTCTTTGAATCCGATTACTCCAATTCTTCCATCACTCTTTACTGATTGCTCTTGGTAAAGGTTTTTGATTTTGTGTTACTAATCATCCTATTGGTAACTTTGATTATTCTCATTCATTATCTCCTTTCTTTTCTTTTTTTACCTCCCAGTTATCTACCATGTTTGTTCCTAAGATTGTCTTGGTTGCACTATCTTATCCGCAATGAAAAAAAGCTATGAAAGAAGAGATGCATGCCCTCCATGAGAATCATACTTGATACTTTGTTTTGTTGCCTACTAGTAAGCAAACTGTTGGATGTCGATGGATCTACACCATTAAATTTATTCTGGATGGTTCTATAGATCTCTTCAAAGCTCGTCTGGTTGCTAAATGCTATACTCAGACCTATAGTGTTGACTATAATAGAGTTATATACTAAAAGCTTGTTTTTCGTAGTGAATTTCAGTTTATTATTTAATAAAAAAATTTCATTTTCTATTTTAATAATAATTTGTGAGTAAAATGTTTGCATTATATTAAATATATAGTATGCAAGTGTCTTTTTATTTTACATTATAGATAATCTGGTTTGTAGAAGTTGGCTTATGCACAGAAGATCAAATTATCAGATTCTTGTATAATATGATTAAAGGTTCATGGTCTGAAGAATTGAATACACCATCAACAAGATTGTAGTGCAATCTTCTAACATAGTCTATCTTGGCTATAGGAGACTGTTGCACTAGTATACTTTGTGTATATATATATTTTTTTGAATAGTCACTTTGTTTATTAAATAGGACCATTTTTGAGGTTATCATCTTTTTACCGAGTAAATAAGAAAATAAACTTCATAGTTACTAGAATTGCTTAAACTCTAATCCTGAGATATTTAATGAACACGTGCATATAATGATTGTTACTTTAATTTATCAAAGAATGAGATTCATTTTTGAGTCAACAAACTCAATCAATTGGGAGATGACATTATTTATATAGTAAAAATTAATAATTAAAGGAAATTACATCCTGGTATTTAAATGGGTTGATGATATCCTCTTGAAGAAGCTCATAAATTTTGTTCATATCAAAGCCAGCAAATGGATTTAATTATCTAATATAACAAATAAGTTGAATTGTAAGATATCAAGGATAAAATAAAGTCAATTAAATATAATTGTCAGTAATTTAATTAATTGACAGACATTTGTAATCTTAAAAATTGAAAAATTATTAAGCATATAATAACAAAGAGCTCGAAATATAATTTTGAAATAAAGTCCGAAAAAACAAAAATAAATTTTTAGTGAACTAACTTACTACTAATAGACCGTAGGATGTTTGTTCTGAGTTAGACATAGGATTCTTAGACCCATTGGAATCCCGACCCTTATTTTTCCTTAGGGTCTCTTTCGTAGCCTATAAATACATACATTTTCTACTTCTCTCAGTCGGACTTTACATTCACGTTTAGAAGAGACAGAAAGAGAGCAAGAGAGGTAATTCGGAGGATTGCAACTCTCACTACATCCGAGTTTTGGAGTGGAAGGACATACAGTAGAAGATCGTAAAGTCCATCAAGTCGGTTGTTCGATCTGCATCAGTCTTTGTTCATGTTATGATCGTTAATGGTAAACCCTAATTTTTGCTTTATAAGGTTAACAGATAAATAGATTTGTTGTATTTAATTATACACGCTGATAACAAATCTTGGGACTGTCGTTCTAACAGCCTATGTAGAGACTTTTTCTTCGGTGGCTAAGATATCTTCTTCGGGGTTTTGAGTTCTTTTGTTGCTAATTTTGATTGGCCCTTATTCAATTAGATGTGAAGAATACTTTCTTACACGGTGATTTTGCGAAAGAGATCTATATGGAGCAACTGCCTGGGTTTGTAGCTAAGTGGAAGTATCAAGAAAAATGTGCAAATTACAAAAAGCATTGTATGGGTTGAAACAATCTCCATGAGCCTAGTTTGGAAAGTTTTTAGATGCAGTGTTGAATTTTGGCCATCATAAATGTCAGACAAATCATTCCCTATTTTATTTACATACTAATGGAGATAATATCTTTATTATTGTTTATGTGATGATATTGTGATTACCGGTGAAGATTATGTGAGAATTGCCAAGTTCCAACGGTTTTTGCAGTATTGATTTCATACCAAGGATTTAGGCAAACTGTTACTTTCTTCGTATTGAAGCTGCTAGATCTAAACAAAGCATTAGCTTATCCCAAAGAAACTATGTGTTTGATCTTTAGGAGGAAACAGGTTATCTAGGTGGTCAACCAATTGATGTTTTTATGGACCCAAACTATAAACTCTAGGTGGATGAAAGTGAATGTTTCTCAGATCTTGGCGGGTACCATCGACTAGTTGAAAATTTAAATTATCTCGCTATTACCTGACAAGATATATCTTATGCGGTGAGTGTAGTAAGTCAGCTTATGAAAGGTCCTAAAGTACCACATTGGGATGTTATTCGTATTATCAGATATCTCTGGCGAGTTTACACACATGGATTGTTGTATAAATCACATGGGCACCCCTAGATTGAAATGGTTCACAAATGCTAATTGGGCAAGCTCTTCCTCAAATAGACGATCTACTTGGGGCTATTATACATTTTTGGAAGGTAATTTGGTTGCTTGGAAGAGTAAAAAGTAGACAATGGTGGCACAGTCAAGTGCAGAAGCTGAGTACTGGGCAATAGCTCACATGAGTTAACATGGTTGCAACACCTACTTAAGGAAATTGGATTTTTAGTCAAGACCCCAATTATGTTATTTTGTGATAATCAAGTTGTTGTTCATATTATTTCTATTCCTGTGTTTCATGAACGAACGAAATATATTGAAGTTGATTGTCATTTTGTTCGAAAGGTGTTGCATAGAGACATTATCACACCATTAAAAAGTCTGAGAATCAACTTGCTGATATGTTTACTAAGTCGTAGTGTAGTTATAGGTTGAGATATATTTTGTTCCAAGCCATGATTATATGATATATATTCACCGGCTTGAAGGGGAATGTTACGGTGTATACGAGTGGCATTCATGTAATAACTATATCCCAAGAGGGGTATATTAGTCTATTAGTTACATTCACATACATATATATAAATATATATGTGTGTGTGTGTGTGTGTGTATGAGGTGAGGGACAAGGTAGGGTATTACCTCTCTCTCTCTCTCTCTCTCTCTCTCTCACACACATTAACACAAAGGAACTTCAAGGAATGAGAAAAGGAATTAAACAACTAAATGTCACCATCGAAGAAGACAATATCACCTCCCATAAAATTGCTGATCGATCTCTGGAAGATGAAGCTAGGTATCTCCCATTATGAGAAAATTGTAAGCACCAGACTTCATCAGAGTGTTCTTCTAATATCTGCCCCACAAAAATTAAGAGTAATAACTAACAAATACTTTGAAGCAACAGATATCAGTCACATTACTAACAATAAGTTTACCCCAAACAAAAAATAAAAGCACAAGTAACTAAACTAAAGATTGACAAAGAATGGTCCAATTTACTGCAGAAAACAAGCGTAGACTTTACGTGTGCAAGGACAAGAAAATAATACTACTATACATGGAAGGGCAGGAGAAACACTTGGCTTGGGTACAATAAAGCATGACAAAGAATATGGGATATGGCACCAACGTATTCAATGCCAAAAACTCTTTTTTTATTTTATATTTATGAAAGGAACACACACACAACCTGCTAGAAGGAAGTGGCACCCAGCACCTCTCCTGCAATGGGTAACAGACAGCACGAAAGCTGACAGCCGGTGATCCTCCCAGTCCACGCACCAAGAAGATACAAACTAACCCATTCTATAGAAGTCCATGCATATACTTTATTGTACTAAGTGGGAAAAAACTGAAAAAGAAAAACACTCAAACAAAAGGACATTTATATGGGAAGTAAACACAGAATAGATTAAACCGAGAAAAACTTAAAGCACCCACAACTAGATCCCAGAGAAGAGGTTGAACTGTTCTCTGGCAGGCTTATATTCTGATGATTATTAACAACCCTCTTATACGACTCTAAGGCTGTCCTAGAAAACACTATCTTTGCCATCATTTAGAACTGACCCAATGCCTATAAATGAATGAACAGAGGCAAAAGACACTGGTCAGTTTTCAACCAGCCATTGAATGGTCATGTGCTTTCATAAAAATTCACATGATTTTTGGGAGTAAAAATTCAGCAACCAAAATACCCTTAAGACCAAGACTTAGAATGAGCAACAAATAGAAACATGAAAAAATAGAAAGACCAGATCCCATGGATTTACCATGACCTCACTGCACAAATAAGTCTGGTGAACTTTCCTCTGACCACACTGCATCAGTCCGAGTGAAGATGAAAATTTGACCATTAGTTTAGCTATTGATTTCCCGCAGTCCACTGGATGTCCATGCACCTGCCCCAGCTTTTCTTTCCCCTTCGCATAGTATAAACCGATATAGCAATAATTGACACATCACTCATTTAGCAGCATAAAAAATTGAGCTTGTATTTGGAGACTCAATAAGTGGTGACATTTATTAAAACCTTGGGTTAATTGCACTAGAGGTCCCCAAAGTATGACGTTTGTCTCATTTTGGTCCCCAATGTTTTAATTGCATCATCTTAGTCCCTGAAGTATTGAATATNGGAATTAAACAACTAAATGTCACCATCGAAGAAGACAATATCACCTCCCATAAAATTGCTGATCGATCTCTGGAAGATGAAGCTAGGTATCTCCCATTATGAGAAAATTGTAAGCACCAGACTTCATCAGAGTGTTCTTCTAATATCTGCCCCACAAAAATTAAGAGTAATAACTAACAAATACTTTGAAGCAACAGATATCAGTCACATTACTAACAATAAGTTTACCCCAAACAAAAAATAAAAGCACAAGTAACTAAACTAAAGATTGACAAAGAATGGTCCAATTTACTGCAGAAAACAAGCGTAGACTTTACGTGTGCAAGGACAAGAAAATAATACTACTATACATGGAAGGGCAGGAGAAACACTTGGCTTGGGTACAATAAAGCATGACAAAGAATATGGGATATGGCACCAACGTATTCAATGCCAAAAACTCTTTTTTTATTTTATATTTATGAAAGGAACACACACACAACCTGCTAGAAGGAAGTGGCACCCAGCACCTCTCCTGCAATGGGTAACAGACAGCACGAAAGCTGACAGCCGGTGATCCTCCCAGTCCACGCACCAAGAAGATACAAACTAACCCATTCTATAGAAGTCCATGCATATACTTTATTGTACTAAGTGGGAAAAAACTGAAAAAGAAAAACACTCAAACAAAAGGACATTTATATGGGAAGTAAACACAGAATAGATTAAACCGAGAAAAACTTAAAGCACCCACAACTAGATCCCAGAGAAGAGGTTGAACTGTTCTCTGGCAGGCTTATATTCTGATGATTATTAACAACCCTCTTATACGACTCTAAGGCTGTCCTAGAAAACACTATCTTTGCCATCATTTAGAACTGACCCAATGCCTATAAATGAATGAACAGAGGCAAAAGACACTGGTCAGTTTTCAACCAGCCATTGAATGGTCATGTGCTTTCATAAAAATTCACATGATTTTTGGGAGTAAAAATTCAGCAACCAAAATACCCTTAAGACCAAGACTTAGAATGAGCAACAAATAGAAACATGAAAAAATAGAAAGACCAGATCCCATGGATTTACCATGACCTCACTGCACAAATAAGTCTGGTGAACTTTCCTCTGACCACACTGCATCAGTCCGAGTGAAGATGAAAATTTGACCATTAGTTTAGCTATTGATTTCCCGCAGTCCACTGGATGTCCATGCACCTGCCCCAGCTTTTCTTTCCCCTTCGCATAGTATAAACCGATATAGCAATAATTGACACATCACTCATTTAGCAGCATAAAAAATTGAGCTTGTATTTGGAGACTCAATAAGTGGTGACATTTATTAAAACCTTGGGTTAATTGCACTAGAGGTCCCCAAAGTATGACGTTTGTCTCATTTTGGTCCCCAATGTTTTAATTGCATCATCTTAGTCCCTGAAGTATTGAATATGTTTCTATATGATCCTTCAAACAGACAGTGTCCAGATTGTTAACGTTTTTTTTTTATCATAAACTGTCACGTGATACTTAAATATGGACAAAAAAATAATTTTGATAACTCTTGACCAAACAGACACTACCCTCTTCTCATATTTTTCTTTCTTCTTCTTTCCTCTCTTCTCTAAAGCCTAACAGGTCTATAATTTAACTTGGTATCAGAACGGTGATCAAATTTAACATCTCAAAGTTGTCAAAATTGATTGAAAATTACCTCAGGAAGCTAGCAATGAAATCTATCAAACGCTACCAAGTTGATGTCATCCTAATGTCAACACCCACCCATGTTAAAAGTTTTTAATTTTTTCAAGGATGAACCGAAATCACCTCTAGATAATTATAGTGATTTTTCTGAATTTTTTTGAAATCATCTGTCTGGGTTTTTTAATGTTTGAATCTTTTTTCAAGTTTTCGGAACCTAGCTCAAAGCCTGATCTGATTCGAATAGGATCGATTACAGCTGTTGTGAAGAGCCCATAGCTTTTTGTTGGAATCGAATTAGTTTTTTGAGTAATTTTTGCCCAAACAGTGATTCGATAGCCCTATTCACCACCAGAAACTGCTCCTTCTTGCCTCTAGTCACTGTACAGAGGCTATTCGAGCCTTGGGTTGCATTGGGTTGTTCCAAAGGTAACGTTTGGATGCTATTGTAGGTATTTTCTGGTTGTGGGCTATTTTTTGACTGTGATTTTCTGTGATTCTTTGGTATTTTGTTCCAAAGGTAACGTTTGGATGTCTACAGGTAATACAACATCTACGAATGTCGGGGTAAATATCGGACAAAGTGGGTTGAGCCGTTTAGGTGCTCTTCCCGTCTCTCCAAATTAGGCCTGAAAATTTGGATGGAAGAAATTATTTAGCATGGTCAAGGGCCTATTCCCTGAAAAATTGGATGGAAGAAATTCTTTAGCATGGTCAAGGGCCTGTTTGTTTATTATGAGTACAAGCAATAGCATTAAATGGGTATTTGACTAGCAGACACTAAGAAGTCAAGTGAGGTAGGTACCTCGTTATGCAATGAACATTTGAGAATGTTTTGGTTATGTCTTGGTTGCTTAACTCAATACAACCATCTATTACTCGTGATTTGGACTGTTGCACCCCATACATACTTTGAACTGCACAATGATACTAAGGCGTATGATCTTAAGAAGAAAGTGCGAGAGACCAATCAAAAAGATGAGACCCTTACAGTTTATTATGCAGAGTTGGCTACTTTATGGCTGGAGCTTGACAACTACCAAAGTTTCCTAGTAAATTGTACTAATGATGCTGTTTAATTTTAACAAATGGTCGAAAAGGAACGAATGTATGACTTCCTTGCCAGTCTTAATACTGAATATGATCAGATTCAGGTTTAAATTTTGGGTCTAGTTCATTTCCTACTGTATAGGAAGCATATGCCTATGTTCAACTGGAGGAAAGTCGGATGATTGCTATGGTTTATGCTCCCACTCATGAACAGTATGCATTTGTTGCTATTCCTAAGCACGACACGAGTTTAACCTTGCACAAGTCTACAAAGATGAGTAGCACTGTGTCTAAGCATACCTTAAGGTGTGATTATTGTGGGAAGACAAGGCATACACAGGAGTTCTGCTGGAAGTCGACAGGGCATCCTACATGTGGCCGAGGTGGTGGACGCGGTGGTAATGTGTAGTCTCAGTCACATCTAACTGACTCTTCAAAGACTCCATTTTATTCAATTGGCACCACTTCGTCTACCTTTTCTCAGATGCAAACTCTTAGGCACCTAATAGCGCGACTTGATGTTTCCTCTACCACAAGTCCTAATTATTCGTCTTCCTCTAACTTCGCTCACACAAGTATATCTAGTGGTTACTACATCAACCTCATGCTCCTTAGATAATAGATTTTAGAACCACATACCACATGACAAGTTCTTCTAGTTTATTCTCTTCATATTCTACATATTCAGGTAGAGATAAAGTCAAAGTGGTAGATGGATCCTTATCCTTGATTTCTAGGAAATATTCTATCCCTCTCCGATGTTCTTCATGCTTCCAATTTCTCTACTAACTTATACCTTTTAGGAACTAAAATCCGAAAAAATGATTGCCAATGGTAGAAGGTCTGTATCTCCTGGATGATGAAGTTTTCCCTCAGTCCCCTCGTCAAACTCTTCGAGCAGAAAATGGTTCAACCCTTTAGATCTTACTACAGTAGCACAGGCTTTTGGGACATCCTTCATTTGGTGTTTTAAAACTTATTTTTCTTAGTCTAGTCAAGTAATGTAGTAGACAACTTTTTGTTTCTGATGCTTGTGAATTTGTCAAGCACAAACATTCTGCCTGTCCTAGTACTAATAATAAAGCAATGCTCCTTTTGCTATCATTTATTCTGATGTGTGGGGACCTTTCCGTGTTGCTTCTATCTCCGATTACCATTGGTTTGTCACTTTTATTGATTGTTATTCTCATCTTACTTGGATTTACTTATTGCACACGAAAAATGAAGTGTTCTCTTGCTTTCTCTCTTTTCATAAAATGTTGGTACACAGTCTGATGCCAAAATCAAAGTCCTTCGTAGTGACAATAGAATCAAGTACATTGATGGAGAATTTCGCTCTTCCTGAATAAGAGTGGCATCCTTTATCAAACTACTTGACATTTTACCCACATAAATTCTTATTAAAATAGAAAATGACGAACTTTTATTAAATAACAAACTGAGTTTTATAAGAAACATTCTTTTAGTATATAACTCTATCACGGAGACCTACTCCTATACTCACTAATGGAGGGTCTAAATATTATATTTCTTTCATTTATGACTATATCAAGTATTGTTGGGTCTATCTAATGACGCATTGTTCAAAATCTTTTCTGTATTCATTGCATTTTATGCCATGAATTTGGCTATGTACCCAATATTCCTCTATTATCAAGTGCTTTTGATGTGATCAAGAAGGAGAGTATTCTTTCAATTCTTTTAGTGATCCGTTAAAATCTGATGGCACTATTTGTCAATCTTCTTGTACCAACAAACTTGAACAGAACAAAGTAACAAAGCACAAACACCAACATATTATAAAGACAACACACTCTCTCTTATTATTAACAAATATCCCAAGCTCTTTTGGGGAGAAACAATTCTTATTGTAATTCATTAGATTAATTGCATTCCAACTATTCTTATTTCTAGTGTTTTTCCATTTGAAAAGTTAAATGATAAGCCCCCTGATTACTTCTCCTTACGTGTTTTTTGTTGTACTTACTTTGTCTTGCTCCCCATTATTCTACGTACCAAGTTTTTTGCTCGATCAGCCTAAGGATATCGTTGTTATGATCCTATTAGCCACAAACTCTATGTCTATCACCATGTTGTCTTTATGGAACATATTTCTTTCTTATTGATTCCCTCTTGTTCTTCATCTGTGCATAAATCTGATTTCATTTACATTAATCCCTTTTGTGTTGATGTTCCCAAAGATACATATGTTAGTGATATAGTCTGATTTGCCATCTTCTTCTTCTCTTTCTGATTTGTTGTTACGCATCCCCTATTGTGCATACTTATATTCATAGGACTTCTATTGTTTCTTCTACGAATGCAGTCTTCCCTCTTCTACTTCTATCACTCAATCATGTTATGACATTGTGGATTATGCTTCTCGCTATCCTCAACAATCTTAGAAATATCCAGATAGGTTTGGTTTCTCCAACTCTTATTATTTTTTTAATTTTTGTGTCTTTCACACTTCTATTCACTAATTGTCTAAGCCTACCTCCTATAAGGAGGCTATACTTGATTCCCTTTGGCAACAAGCTATGGATGAGGTGCTATCTGCCTTACATAAGACTTGAGCTTGGAAATTAATTCCTTTACCTCCTAACAAACACAATATTGGCTAGAAGTGGAGTTATAAGATCAAAATCAAATCATATGGTATTGTGGAAAGATACAAGATTCGGTTAGTAGTCAAGGAATTTGCTCAAGAATATAGGTTAGACTATGATCAAACTTTTGCCCCAGTTACCAAGATGACTACTGTTCGAACTATGATTGTTGTAGCAACCATTCATCAATAGTACTTGTCTCAGCTTGATGTGAAAAATATATTTTTTTTCATGAAAACTTATCTAAAGAGGTTTTTATGACTCCTCCATCTGGATTGTCTTAAAGTCCTAGTCAAGTATGTAGACTTTACAAGGCACTATATGGACTTAAACAGGCTCCTAGGACATGGTTTGCCAAGTTCTCCCAAGTTATCTGTCATGGTTCTCCAAGTTCTCCTAAGTCATTTGTGATTGGGTTTTCATGTCAGTGATCATGACTCTACTCTCTTCTACGGTCCACTTCCTCTGATTTTATTATTCTCCTACTTTATGTAGGTGATATAATCATTATAGGTGATGATACTACTAGCATCAACCTATTGAAAACGTAGTTACAGGATCACTTTAAAATGAAAGATTTAGGTCAACTTCAATATTTCTTGAAGATTAAGGTTGCTTCTTCTCCCAAACGTTATCTTTTTTCTCAATCCAAGTATGCATCGAATGTTATTCAGTAAGCTCATTTATCAGATAATCGAACAATTGAGGTACCCTTAGAGTTCAGTGTTCGATATTCTTCCTGTGATGGTACTTCGTTGCCTACTCATACGCTCTACCACATCATCGTTGGGAGTCTAGTATATCTTACGGTTACTCACTCAGATATCTCTTATGTTGTTCATAATGTCAGTTAGTTTGCCGCCTCACCAACCACTATACACTAGATTGCTATCCTCCGCAATCTTAAATATATTCTTGGTACTCTACATTAGAGTTTACTATTTTTTCACTCGATGGAACTCAAGATTTATTCAGATGTTGACTAGGCTAGTGGCTCTATAGATTGCAAGTCCACAACTAATTTTTGCCCTTATCTTGGAGATTCTCTTATTTCTTGAAAAAGCAAAAAACAAATTGTTATCGCTCATTCTTCTACTGAAGCTGAGTATTGTGTTATGACATCTACCATAGGTGAGATAGTCGAGTTACGATGGCTACTTGCTGATCTTGGCATTTCCCTATCTTCTTCTATTCCTATGTATTATGACAATACCATTGCTATTCAAATTACTCACAACTCAATCTTCTATTAACACACAAAATATATTGAGATTGATTGTCACTTTGTAAGCCACCACCTTCAGCTAGAGAGTATCACTCTCCCTCTTCTTTCTTCCCCCATGTAGATAGCGAATTTTTTTACAAAATTTCAATCCGTAACATGCTTTTGATTTCTTCTTGGCAAACTATTGATTTTTTCCACCACATCATGAGTTTGAGAGGGGACGTTAGAGTATTAATATTAAGGATAGTTTAGGCATTCACATTATTCTGTGTTGTCATACTATATAAGGGTCTACATTGTGTATTTTATGTTAAATTGCATCACAAACTTGTTTAACTATAATAATATTTTTTCTCTCCTTTCTCTCTTTCTTTGACCAAAGTTTTCAATTTTCAATTTTCAATTTTCAATAGGGTAAGGAATCCCCCTATTACTCAAATTTTCACAGATTGTGGGTGGACCTGTCTTGTCATAACCCCCAAGCATGCGAATTGTGATATAGTTAGGGAGTTCTATGCCCTATAGAAGATACACATCCCAAGCACAAGCAATTCACCA